TCTGGACCTGGCTTCCAACAGTGACCATTTAAGTAGACCCCAGAGGAGAGTATGGCCAGGCCAAGCACGTGTGAGTTCCTCCCAGTGCTTTCATCTTCTGGCTGTGTTCATACAAGGGACTTGTGGAGCCAGCTGTGTGGGCAAGGATCGTTCTCCTGTCCTTCCCCACTTTGTTGTCAGCTTCCAGACCTCTCCACTAAGGCACTACATTGCTGTTGAGTGTGATGGTATCTGCTTGAGCTGTAGGTACTCATCCCTTGGGACCTGGTTTGAACTTTTCTCCTTCTTTCTGGGTTAGGTGATGAGAACGGCTTCAACATTCCCACTGTAACGCTGTGCCCGGAAGTTGCCAAATACCTGGACTTGCCACTGGCTGTGCTGGCGTTGGAGCAACCTCGGGACATGGACGGAGTGGCCAAGCGCCTCTTCTGCGACGCCTACATGTACATGTACCAGAGCAAGAAGATGGCGCTTTACAAATGACGCTGCCTTGGGTTGGTGCCGCAGAGCAGCGAGGCATTGGGAACGTGAGCTTGGATTGGCCCTGCAGCTCGTCGTCGGTGAAAGCGGCCAAGTCTGGGTGCACTGAGCTTGCACTTCTGCCTCTTCTTACCTCTTCCAGTGTCTGGTTATCAAGCTGTCCACGTCAGCCTGTCTGGCTTTGTTAAAATCTGTACTTGGGCTTACCGAGTGATAGTTTGTACTTCCTGCAGACCTGGACTCTGAATTATTTACACTCAAATTCATTCTCATTTCCTACCTTCCCTTTCCACTCTCCTTTCTCCCCAGGTACTCTGCAGCTCTGCCCTACCTCAGAGTCCTCTCCAACATCCTTTTCTCCTTGCCAACCCTTCCTTCCAAAGCTGAGGACCAGCACCTAACCAAAACACGAGCGCTTATCCTCAGGTTTGCAAAGGGCACAAGAAAACCACAGCCTCGCCCTGCGTAAAGCATCCTCACGTGGACTTGTGGAGCGAGAAAACCAGGTGTGAGCTGCACCGGTGTGGTTAAGAGATGGGTCAGAACGAGGGGTTTTATGCAAGGTCTGGGATGTGACCCCACACCTAAAGCTGGGTCCCCGAACTGTCTGCACTGTCCCCTTACCCAGCACTAATACTTTGGCACTTTAACCCACCATCCGTTATTTCAGACCATGAGATTAATTGGATATCTTGAGCTGCAAATCCGCCTTACAAAAATATGTATTTTTAAGAACAAAACTGGAAGAAAGATGGAGGAACAGCATTATGCTTACTCATTTTTTCCAAACTCTGCACTATTGCTACATGATCGGGTGCTTTAACCTCACTTTTAGCACTTACTGTCCCATCTTTGCATCCACTTCTGTGCCAAAGACCAGGAACAGAATTCCAAGGGCAAAAATTGGAAAACAAAGAGCACTTCTGGATTTTCTGCCGCGACTGCAGTAAGCTTTAGGGTCTCTGGGTGGGAAATGGTATTCCTTAAATTGAATAACTTAGATCTGCAGACTGGGGGTTCTCTGCCATTAAGCACGTGCTGTCACGGCAGCGGGAAGCTGTGACGGGCGTCAGTGCTATGAACTGGGTTGCCCAGATTCCAGATCGCACTGAGAAGGCACCAAAACCTTGCGGGAAGCATCCAGGAGCCCCAGATGTGCAGCTGTCATCGCCCTCCTGCTCTTTTCTTTCCTCTTCAACACAGGGCGCGGTAATTGTAACCTGCCTGTAGCTTTGTTATTGCTCCTGTTGGCTTGGGCCATGCAGTCCACGTGGTTTAGGATCTTTTTCTGCTGACAGCAGGGTTGTGATGCTAACCAGGACCTCGACAGCTTGACGGCTGCATCGGCTTTCCGGCGTGTCCCTTGTTTCTGTACGCGGTGGGTACAAAGGACAGCTGGCGTGTAACGAACCCAGATTGTTAATGCACAGTTAATTTTTTGAGAGCACCGCTGTCCAATTCAGCTTCCACATGAGCTTGCTGAGCATCTGGACCTCAACACCATGTTGACCACGAGGGAGCAATGTGTCCTCAAGGTGGAGAAAGCCAACGATGTCCTGGGCTGCATTCAATGTGTTGCCAGCAGGTCAAGCGAGGGGATCCTTCCCCTCTGCTCAGCACTGACAAGGCCACACGTGGAGTACTGGATCCAGTTCTGAGCTCCCCAGTACAAGAGAGATTGAAGAGAGGCCGACGAAGGACCACGAAGATGATGAAGGGCCTGGAGCATCTCTGCTATGAGGAAGGGCTGAGAGAGCTGGGACTGTTTCACCTGGAGAAGAGAAGGCTCCAGGGGAACGTAAGGTTCTGCTGCAAAGCGGATGGAGCCAGGCTCTTCTCGGTGGTGCCCAGTGCCAGCACCAGAGGCTGGGGGGGCAAACTGAAACACAAGAGGTTCCCTCTGAACACCAGCAAACACTTCTTCACCGTGAAGGTGACAAGTCCTGGCACAGAGAAGTGGTGGAGTCTCCATCTTTTGAGATACTCAGAGCGGCCCTACACAAAGCCAAAGCACCAGGAGTGGAAGAGTTTGTTTAGGAGTAGGAGAGATGGTGGCAGATCTGGCAACAGAGCCTCCAGAGGATGGGTTTACCATGCTCCTGCTTGTAGAACTGACTTGCAGGCCTCTGGCTGATCCTCTGTGGCTGTGGAGAAGGCTGAGGGGCTGGAGGGTGCTGCTGTCTCACTGTCTTTTGTCTACTTGAGGTTGCTCTTCATTCCTTCTCCCCTAAGAACTCAGGACAGTCACTGCTCAGGTACGCTGAGGGTTGGGTTCTTACAGCTCTGGTGCTTCCGCTCTAAAAATGTTAAGTTTTAATTACAAATTGCTCTTGGTTTTCCTGGAGTTTTTCCTCTCTTAAAATGCTAAGCGTGATACGGTGCCCGCAGCTGGAGCATTGCAACAGGGAGCTCCAAGCTCTTGGGTCTTTTAGAAACAAGAGACCATCAGGCCATGCTTCGTTAAGCTCTTTGAAATTTGTTTTTTCCCCATCAACATGTGTTGCAAAGAGTTAAACGAGATCCAAACCATGGCTGCTCCTGGGAGGGTGTGCTCTCAGGGGTCGGCACTTGCTTTTCACTCCAACTTTATTCAGTCATAAACCATGAAGTGAAGGATATTGACTTAAAACATTCAAGCTGAAGGCAACACGTGTTTGGAAAGACCAGTGTGGCCATAGCCGTGGTGGGTCAAGGCCTTTATTTTGTTTTATTGCTTAGGATGAAGTTAATTGCAGGGATTAGAGCTGTGTTTCCTCTATGAACATCAGCTTAGAGAGTGCCGGTGTCAACCGGGAGCTGGTGTCCATGCCCCAAGGAACACGTACAAAACGGAAAGAGATAAAATGTGTCCACAGAACCAAAGCCTGGAATAGGAAGGGCAAAGTGCATCTGCCACAGATGTCTCTTAGGACATACATGGGGTGTAAAAGGCTCGCTCTTCCCATGGTGGACCTCCTTGTGCACTCAAGCCTCGTCTCTAGTGCCACCAAGGAGCTTTGGCATGGATTCTCACCACAGAAGGCACAGGGTTTGGCAAGGCCACCAAGGCAAGCAGCACTGCCACGGCAGAAGGTGCAGGGTTGGCAGGGCCACCAAGGCAAGCAGCACTGCCGTGGCAGAAGGTGCAGGGCTGGTAGGGCCACCAAGGCAAGCAGCACTGTCATGGCAGAAAGATGAGGGC